TCGAACATTGCCATTAATTCCGGCCTTTCACAGACTCAGATGATGCTTTTTTTTTTTTTTTTAAATACAAATTGTGATGATATAGAGTATATGCACATCCATTTACATTGTAAATCTTGCTTTGTGTTCTAATAGGAACTAAGAAATTCAATATTGTTTAAGTATCGGGTTGTATGTAATGGTGAAGATGGATTTTTAGAGATGTTTTTATTTGGCACAGTCCAGAGCTTCCAAAGAAGAAGCTTTTCAGATTTAATGGGTTCATATAAAGAACAAGGAAGCAAACTAAGTGTTTTCTGAGACACATTTGAGACCGAGGAATCGTAAACAATATAAACCACAAATACATCCTAACCAAACAGAAGCATCCTTCCCACCAAAACTTTACAGCTCTATTATTAGAAATGAAAGCTTGTTCCCATGCTACATTCATGAGATTAGTGGACTGATATCTTTTAAGTGTCAACTGCACTGTTAACAAAAACATTTTATTACAAAATATGTAATGATAGTAGCCAATATATTTGAGTGCTTACTGCATGCTACCTTTCATATATTTTCCCAATCCTTCCTATAAACTTAGGTGAAGAATATTGTTGTCCATATTAGAAAACTGATGTCCTTTGGAGTCACAAATTAGTAAGTGGAGGGGCTCCCATATCATGTTTGACCCCCAAACACACTACTTAATTCAGTTCACTTTATGTTGAAGGTTCTCTGATGGCCGAGTCTTACTTCACACAGTGAAAGAACTCAACCCAGTTCCACAAGGTGATTCTTCATTACTACTGAACATTTTAATTCTGGACTCAAAGCGTGCCACATTGTAAACTAGGTAATCCCATTAGCTAAGAAACAGGAATTTCCCAGAACGTCTGAAGCTATGCTGTTCTGAAAGCTGAAGCACAGGCAGAGAAGTAAAGCATGCTGGGGACTGCAGTGAGGAACGTCACTGGGAAGCTGTTTCTCATCATCACAGCTTTCCAGGCGGCCAGATCCCCTTCCCATGAGCACAGCTCTCTGCTCTTGCCTGTTGCAGGGGACTGGGAATCAAAGGCAGGCTGTTGTGTCGGAGCAAATGAAGGACAGGAAGAGTGCTCTGGGGAGCTTTTACCCCATTTCTGTCTGACTCTCTCTCTCCTTCTCCTTCACCAGGCATTTTCTCTCTTTCTTAGTCTCTCTACTTCTCTCTATGGGGAGCTGTGTCCTGCTTTTCCCGCCTTCTCTGTAGCCTGGTTCATAATTCCTGCCCTCTTGCTTGCACATGGCCTTGGCTTACCACGGCTTCTTTGGACCCAGCTGGTTCAAGGTTACATGCACATATAAATGGTAAATACTTGGATTTCTTTGATTCCAAAACCTATATTTCTTTACTGTATTATGCTGACAGTGTATTTTTTTAATAACTCAATAGTCAAATATATTTTAAATAACAATGAGGAAAATACTATATTTATGCAGATATCTTTCCTGTTATCTCTCAGCTTCGTTCTTGAAGTTTCAAGTGAACTCTGGAGTCATTTCCCTTCACATGTCTAAAGGGATTCCTTTCACATGTCTTTGGAGAGTAGGTCTGCTGTGACAAACCCTGTGTCCCGCGTGAGAAATGACTTTCTTTTATCCTCATCACTCAAAGACCTTTCTACCAGAAGCAGAATTCTAGGTCGATAGGTCTTTTCTTCGGGCACCTTGAAGATGTCTTCTGACTGCTGTCACTTCTCATGGTCAACATTCGGTCCCTGCAACTGTTAGTCCATATAGTGTGGCGTCCCCACCTGCCCACAGTCCACTGCTTTCAAGACTTTTCTTTGTCTGTGGTTTTCAGTAATTTGACTAGGTGTCTGGGCTTATATGTAGATAGATAGATAGATAGATAGATAGATAGATAGATAGATAGATATAGATACACACACACACATATATAAACGTGTATATATATATACTTTTTAATTTATCGTCTTTGGAGTTTGTTGAGTTTCTATAAATTTATCTTTCACCAAATTTAGGAGGTTTTGAGGAACGATGTTTTGACTATTCTTTCTGCACTGACATCTTTTGCCTCTGCTTCAGGGGCTTTAATGACACAAACCTGAGCTATTTGATGTGGTCCCACAAGTCTCTGAGACTCTCTAGTCATTTTTGTTTGCAATTTTTTTTCTTTCTATTGTTCAGATTGGATACTTTTTACTGCTTGTTCTACAAGTTCACTTGCTCTTTCTTCACTCACCTTCATTATGCTATTGAGCTTGTATAATGGATTTTTAATTTCAGATATTGTATTTTTCAACTCTAAAATTCAGTTTAGTTCTTTTGTTGTTGTTGTTAATGCTCACTTTTGGATATTTTTTCCATTTATTTTTTTAGAAAGAGTGGAAGGGAGGGAGGGAGGCAGAGATAGAGAAACACTGATGTGAGAGAGAAACATCAATCAGCTCTGGTATGCACCCTGACCAGGGACTGAATCCACAACTTGGGCATGTGCCCTGAATTGGAAATGAACTGGTGACACTTTGGTGCATGGGACCATGACACTGTCTAGGGTAAGCAGTTCTTTTTTTTAATAGACTATTTATCTGCTAAGAATATATATCTTTTTGTTCATTTTGAGAGTGTTCACGTTAGTTTATGGGAAGTGGTTTTAATAGATAATTTAACATCTGTCCTCTAATTCATATATCTGAAACTTTAGGTTGGCATCTGCTGATTGCTTTTTGCTCTGAGGATTGGTCATATTTTTGTGGTTATTAGTTTATCAAATAGTTTTGGATTGTATCCTGGACATTTTGAAGATTACACTGTCAGACTCAGCACACTGTTAAAACTCTCTGGCAAATATTGATATATTGTTTGAACAGGCAATCAACCTGCACAGTCTGTTCTTTTCTTCTGTGGCACTAGTTTCAATGTCAATTACATTTTCAGTTGTTTTTATGCTGTTTGGGTCTGTTGGGGCATGCACCACTCAAGATCTGCTCTGGTACTTGGATAATTTTATCACCCAAGAACTGCAATTCAGTCCTTAAAGCTTTTCTTATACTTCTCTGACATTTTCTACATATGGACAACTTGAGAAGTGAGCTCATTACCTGTGTAGGTTCAAACACAGAACTAGAGATTCTCTTCTTTAGCTCTCTCTTGTCTGTGTGATTTTTTTCACATACTCTGGCTACTGGGACCCCTTTACCCACATTTTCTGGCAAGACAGTTTGTGCTCTCTCAGAGCCGTGGCCTCCTGTGCTGTGGCACAGTCCCATGCAGTGCACCACAATGCAGAGCAGAGAAGAGAAAAGCACACCACAGTGGGTGCCAAATTCTTCTGTCTGAAGGACTGAATCATCACGTGGGATGCGTGCCCCTGCCTCCACTGGGATAGCAGTGCACATCTGCTCTGGAAGCTGGCCTGTGGCAGGACTGAGAGAATACACAGAGAAAGGTAAATGTGGGGATGTCCCCACACTTCCTCCCGATTCTATAACCAGAATGATGACCTCAACTAGCATTTTTTTTTTTTCTTTTCTGTTTGCACCTTTCACAAAGTTCCCAACTTGGCTTGTCTTCAGGTCAGATCCAGGAGGAGAAAAAAAGGAAAAACTAGAAAGAATTTTTGTAGCTCAGTTGATCTCAGCTATAGATTTGAGCTCCCTCCTTAATCTACTTGCTATTGTTTACTTTCCAGAGCCCTCAGCTAGTTGATTGCCATATTTGATCCAGTTTTAGTGTGATCGGGGGAGCAACCGAATGGGCTGCTTATTCCCTGGGCTGCCTCTTATTAATGTTTTTACCCCTATCACTTGCCACAGAACCTGTCATGTGATAGACAGAAAAATAAATGATGTGAATGAAAACCAACAGCATTGGTATGAGGTGAATGCTGAGCTTTTTCCTGCTGCCTTCCAGGTTGAGTTTACTCACACAAAACCATACTTCATTGCACTGACTCTGCAAATTCCCTTCTTCCATCTGTTTTTCTCTACTGTTCCAGTAGATTGACATATTTTTTCTTTGCCAGGTGGGCTTGTTGAGATAAAACATTCTTTGCTTCATTATAAATGTTTTATAGTTGCATAAAAATTATAATTTAAATTTTTCCCTTATTTACACCAAAAAGAATTTATTTTAGTGTTTTAGCCTTTGGAAAATGATACACTTGTTTAATAGATTGGTAATTATTCTGTTTAAAGTCAATCATTAGGATTTCTCTTTATTTGATTACTGTGAACATATCCCCAAACCCACAATCTGTTTATCACCAGTTACATCCATTAAGTCAACCTTGTTGGTCCTTAAACAAAAAATCACTATAACTTCTCATTTTGAATATTTTTAAGAACAAAGATTAACAGAAAGTAATAAACCTTAGATATATCTAGTTTAAAATCTCAGTCTGTTTATAAACATTTTCTTTTTAATTTGCTTGTCATTTTTTTTTTAATCCTCACCCAAGGACGTTTTTCTATTTTTTGTTCAGATAGAGTAAGAGGGAGAGAGAGAGAGAGAGAGACATCGTGAAAGGGACACATCGAGTGGTTGCCACCTGCACAACCCAACCAGGGCCAGGGACAAACTGCAACTGAGGTACGTGCCCTCAGTGGGAACCGAACCCGGGTCTCTCTGGACCGCAGGCTGACGCTCTAACCACTGAGCAAAACCGGCCAGGGCTATGCTTGTCATTTTTATTATAAACATATCTTTCTAGAACTTTAGATGTTCCCACTTCTAAAATGGAAAATCTGGTCGGGAACTGAGCTCCCAACGTGTATTCGACCTGTGAGTGGGGCAGGTCCTTAGCATGAGCTAAATGAAGGTTGACTTCCCTGAGTCTGACGTCATCTGGTGAGGTGTCCGCATAAGGATACGGCAGGACCCAGAGCCTGGGATCCACCTGGCAGTGCTATGGCTGAAATGAGAAAATGAAGAGGAAAGCAACTCGCCATGTCACCATTGCTGTGTTTACAATCTAAGTATGTTTCTCTTTTCTCCTTGTCTCCTGGGATCTCCAGTTTACCGTGGCTTCTGGGCAGTCCTGATGCTCCTGGGGGTGGTTGCTGTGGTGACCGCGAGCTTTCTGATCATCTGCGCAGCCCCCTTCGCCAGCCACGTCCTCTACAAGGCCGGGGGCGGCTCATACATTGCCGCAGGTACGTGCTGTGCTATGGGCATGCTCCCTGGCCACGAGTTTTCTCCCTTGCGCTGTATTTTCTTATTTGTAGCTTTGGGTACCAGGATTCTAGCAGTAGGAATACAATTACATTCACATGTACTATTTCTGAGTGCTAACCATACCTCAGACACTTTTCCACGTGCTAACACACTTTGCACGGCAGTCTTTGCTCATTGTACCCACTTATCTGAAAGAGGACAACAGAGGGGACATCTCTGCTTGAAGAGCCTTTTAACCTCTCTTACCCCATTAATCTTCTGTCTGAAAACGGGGACATATCATGTCTCTAACATCAGGATGTAGGTGAACTTTGCCGTGTTCTCTGAAAAGGACAGCCCCATGATGATGCTCTCCTGACTCTTCATCCACCCACAGGAGAAAGCACCTTTTCCTCCAATGTCCCTGTTCAGTCCTCTCAGTTGTGGTTCACGTGCATTATCTGAGCACAGTCTCTTTATTGTAAAGCCAACAGTTACTTTAGTCAGCTTTCCAACTAGCCTAATTCCTAGTAAATAATCATAGCACAAATTAAAGAAAAATAACTGAACAGGCAAGTCTTGTGAATTTTAAGCCTTTTTCCTTTAATTAGGAAGTAAAAACCAGAACACTGACTTGAAAACATAAGCCCAAGGTTATGTAAAGATAACAATTCTAGAAAATTAGACAAATGTCAGAATGACACGGACGGAACTTTACATGACTGTGCCATATTATAACAGCGGATCAGAAGGACAGAGTATGTCTACCTGAGGTGGTGGCCAGAGCAAAGGACAGAACAGGATGGATAGTGTCATTGTCTTTATCGCCATCATAAAGACAGCCCAGGAGGTTGTCCAGGATTTAATCAGTGACCAGTTAACAGTTTCTTAAGCACACATTTTACATAATATTGTGCTTAATTCTGCAGAGGGAATAAAAGGAATAATCAGATATGGACCCTCTGCTTGTGAAGCTCAGAAACAAAGAAACACCAAGAATATATGCACCCTATGTTCATAGCAGCGCTATTTACAATAGCTAAGATCTGGACACAGCCCAAGTGTCCATCAGTAGATGAATGGATAAAAAAGCTGTGGTACATGTACACAATGGAATACTATGCAGCTGTAAAAAAAAGAAGGATCTGTTACCCTTTGAGATGACATGGAGGGACCTGGAGGATATTATGCTAAGCCACTCGGAGAAAGACAAGTATCACATGATCTCACTTATTTGTGGAATATAATGAACAAAATAAGCTGATGAACAAAATAGATCCAGAGACACAGAAGTGGGGAACAGACTGACAGACCTCAGCGGGAAGAGGGATGGAGGGGTGGAGGGAATAGATAAATCAGAGAACTTATATGCATATATGCATAACCCATGGACACAGACAACAGTGCAGTGAGTGGGGTGGAGGGTAGGAAGGGGGGTAAATGGGGGATAAAAGGAGGGAGATTTGTAATACTTGCAACAGTAAAGATAAATTTTTTTTAAATAAAAAAATAAACATTTTAAATATTTTATTTAAAATGAACATTAAGGGGAGGAAGGTAAGGGGGAGGGGGTAATCAGTGGGGGGAAAAGGAGAAACATCTGTAACAAAATTTAAAAAAACCAAAATAAAATAAAATAAAATGAACATTAAAAAACAGCAACAACAAAAAACAAACACTGAGATCAAGAGCCTTGTTTAGCCTATTTTATTTCAACCTCTGTTCTTCACTGGTTTCTTAAGGGCACAGACTTACCCATTTCAGCTCATAATTTTTAAAATAACATTGAAAAATTAAGATGTAATGTACATACAATAAAATTTACTATTTTAAAGTATATAGTCCGGTGTATTCTAACACATTTACAGAGTGGTTCAAACAGCGTCAGTGTTTGGTCCTGGGATATCTTTATCACCTCAAAGAAACCCCATCCTCTCCTCTGCTCACCCCACTCCAACAACCACTGATCTACTTTCTGTCTCTATGGATTTGGCTTTTCTGGATATTTTATATAAATGGAATCAAATATGTGGCCTTTGTGTCTGGCTTCTTCACTTGGATCTCACAATTTATCATTTCTCTTCAATTCATAGCTCCTTATACCAAACCCCTCTGACTTAACATCTGCCTTTCCACATATTTTCCTCCCCAAACCACATTCTACTCTCATTGCATTCAAAGCTAGTTAAGGTGCATATTTTCCCCTGATCTTCCCAGAAATAACAGCTCCTTGCTAAAATATATAAATATTTTTTCTTCTCATTCCTTGATTTTCTTTTGTAATCTTTGTCAATAAAAGTGATGTGTAATCACAGTTGTTTAACACTAACCATGGGCAGCACAATTGATCTAAACTCAGAAACGTTCTGCTCCCAAGTTTGGTCTTAGAGAAGTGTGTGTGTGTGTGTGTGTGTGTGTGTGTGTTTATGTTTAGTGCTTTTGAAAAAATTTTAGTCATTTTATAATTGTGTGAGAAAGGAGTATATCCAACTAGACTTTTTGGAGTGATCACTTCATAAGGTATATAAATGTTGAATTACTATATTGTACACCTGTAACTAATATGATATCATGTACAACTATATTTTAATAAAAAATTTTAAAGCAGTTGCATTTGGCCAAGAACCTTGTAGAAGCATTTGATACTGATCCGTACAAAGCATTTGATATGTACTCATATGCCCGTGACAAGCGGATTTTCGTTTTCAATGAATCTTTTATTACATGTGGGTATGGGCTGAGATCCTCCTTGTTCAGGTCCTTTGACCCTGGGAGTTGAGCGGTGTCCAATGGCAGCCCATTCTGAAAGCCACTGAACTAAATGATTATGGGGTCACTTCCTTTAAAATTTGACTTAATTTCCTTCATGGCCCAATTCTTTTTTGTTCATGTAGAACTGTTTGATCCCCAAGAACAGAAAGAGGTATTCTGTTGGATGAGATAAAATATTACAGTTCATCTTATCAGTTCCAACAGGGAAAATGATGTTCTCAGGAGTAACTAAAGTTTAACGTCTAGTTGCAATTTTCATCTCATGAAACAATCTGTTCAAGTAGTTACGGGGCCAATAAATCATCCTTAAACTTGAATAATTATTGACAGAAGAATTTTAAAAGTCAATTTTCTATTATTAATTTTCCCAGACAATATAAAAGGCAACTTATTTTCTTCAAAGCTGAAGTTGGAAATGACATGCTGTGCTATGCAAAGAGGAGGAAAGTGTGAAATAAACACTAGCTTTGTGGCCGTGCCAAATTATTTCTGTATCACATTTAATATGGAACCATGCACCTAGCCATTTACTGAGGTAAACTGCATTTATAATGCTTTCCTTGGTCAGATTTTATATTTCAACATGAGGTGGTTTTGCTCCATGCACCCAGCACTCCCACACGCCTCGGTGTAGGGGTGTAGGCCTCGCTGTGTCCCGCCGCCAGTGGTCCCCATGCTGCCGGTCACCACGCTGTGCTCAAAGGGCAGGGAGGAGCAGGGCGCGGGGCTGTGGGCTGGGGCTGCTTTGCCAGCACCGCAGACAAGATCGCGTGCTCTTCGCTTGGACCGATGGCCACAGCTGGGTGTGCACACAGAATGGCTCTTGGCATCAGCGAGATTGTTTGGGGCACTCCACACACGGCGGACATGCTGGTGCTACGTGGTGGGGCGAGCGTCCAGGTGCTCCTCTTGCTCTGGTAACCCCTCCCTGAGCTGGCAGAGGCCTCCTCGCCGACCAGGCCAGGTTCCCCAGGGAGTTCCGTTCTGGACCAAGTGTGTGGTCATTTTCAAGGCATTATGATGCCAAGCCTGTGTCAGTCTCATCACACACCTCCACAGTGATTAAATCATTAGTGACATTTTTTTTTGTATTTTTGATCTTTAAAAATTTCACAATACATCATCTGTATATTGTGTCGTGTGTTCACCACCCCAAGTCAAGTCTCCTTCCGTCTCCATTTAGCCCCCTTTACCCTGAAATTGTTTTAATGTGGGCTTTGGAAACGTCTTAGATGCCAAGGGGATGCCTCTTGTCTCCTGACCCTGTGCCCTGGCGGCCGCAGGGAAGGTGCAGAAGGAGGAGAATGGGCTGACATCCCAATACAAAGCATTAGGGTATGTGGAGGAAATTTCATAAAGCTGAATTTTCTAATGCTGTGCAAAGAGACATCAGTATAGGAATTACTGTTCATCAGTAAGACTTCTAAGTGTACAAGAAAGAATACAGACATGATCTGGGTGCTTGGGACACTGGCAGTAGATGATAAGCCACAAACACTGGAAATTGTTCCTTTACCAGCATATCGGGGGAGAAGGATTTTCCTTCCACCACTGAAATCGCCTGTTCCAGAATGGCAAACAGGTTACGTGCCTCTGCTTGGCAGCCTGGAAAGAAAGGCCTGAGTCTCAGCCAAACCCCTCGTTAGAGCTTTGAGTGGGGTGTATGTCAGGGGAACACAGCGGCCTCCTCCGGGAAGGATGTCTGGGAGGGAGGAAAGGACCTCTGCGGGGTCCCAGTCCTTGGGCACCTCGGGGAGGCGAAGTCCGGGCCTGGCTCCTGCTTCTGGGACTGCAGGCCGCGGCCCTCGCCTGGACAGCTGTGTCCGAGCTGCTGCTGGTCACCAGGGCCACTATGAGTGAGCTGACATAACCTCCTCGGGCAGCCAGCCCTCTGTCTTGTGGGACAAAGGGCCTGAAACACCTCCTCCTGTGACCACTGCTGCCCCCTCCTGGCCTGGAGGACAGTGTTCTGCAAAAGTGCAGCTACTCCTGCACTCAGAGGGGTGTTAGGGAGATGGGTGGCTCTGAAGGCACACAAGGTCCCCCACTAGCAGGTAGTGCTGACGCAGAAGTAAATCAGATCTGTGGTTTCTCTTCTTTTTTTCCCCCCATTTGCAGCATCTCATCAGTAAACCATTTATTTCTGCATGAGATAAGATAAATAAGATGGATGCATACCACAAGAGACCCCCACACCCAATAGAGAAAAAAGCTCACAGAAACCAAG